CATTTTATATTGAAATGACAATATTATTTGCAATTAGACAGAGATAAGTTTAAAAATATATATAGTTAACCCTAAATAGACAACTAAAAACATAAGATGAAAGATTAAACCTAATGAGTCAATCATGGAGCTAAAAATAGAATCACTTGGGAGAAAAACAATCAATTCCAAAGAAGACAGAAGAGAACAAAGGGCAGATGGGACAAACAGAAACAAACAGTAAGAAAATTTAATCATATGTACAATTACATTAAATATAAACAGCCTAAATACTCAGTTGAATGTCAGACTGGACAAGGAAGAGATGCTCAGTGCACCAGCTGTCAGCACACTGTCTCTTAGCTCTAGGTCCTCCCTTCTCTGACCGTGGCTCTGAGTTAACATTATTTTTTAGTCATTTTTTTCCCCTGTAAACTCCTTTCCTTTCTTATCAGCATGACTAGCTCGACAGCCACACAAAATCACGGTGAGATACACAGCCAAATAAATACTGGCTCAGATCCAGAGTTGAGGACCAGGTCAAAAGAGTATTTCCCTGATAGGAGCTGCAGCCCTGCCCTGATCCAACCAGAGTGTGGAATTCTCTGGAACAGTCATGGCTGGCCGACCAGTCTCATGGTGAAGCAGTGGGGAGGGAGCTGCAGATTCACTTTGAGGAGGGAAGTTGGGGTCTCTTCCCTCCAAGGACACAAGCAGCAATCACCCCACCTGGAGAGCCTGCAGATCTGCTGTAAACCAGCTCAACTTGACTGGGGGCATCATAAGAAAAGTCACCCAGCTGTCTGCAGCTCCAGAGTTGAGAACTAAGACAAAACCCCCTTTGGTCCACAAGGATCTCCGTGTTATGGTCTGAATTAATCAATACAATTAGTAAGTTATAGGTTTTAGATCAGGATTAAAAAATATAGATTGATAAAATAGTAAATAGAGCCATAGTGACTCCATCTTTATGGTTCCCACATGAAACTGTTATATAAGCTGTTTTTAAATTTAAAAGAAAATTTTTTTAGTTGTAGATGGACAGCATGCCTTTATTTTTTATTTTATTTTTATGTGGTGCTGAGGATTGAACCCAGTGCCACACACGTTCGAGGCAAGTGCTCTGCCACCGAGCTATAGCCCCAGCCCTGTTATTAAAAATTATTTTTTAAAAAAATGGTTTTTCTGTGCTTTGTACACCTGCAAGTGAACCTGAACCCAGGGTGAACAACCGCAGTGAGCTGGAACCCAGGATGTGGTCGTCCGGCTGCTCTGCTGACTGCTCTTTCAGTCCTGGGACCCTGCTTGCTTGCAATTTTCAGCTTCGCAGACAGCCTGCACCTTCTGTCAGAAGCCATTTGGGCATGGCAGAAACGTCCCTGGCCAGGATAATAGAGATAAAATAAAATTCTCTAGTTTGTTTCAAATTTGGACTTAGTGTGCTTTCCGAGCGGTCGCCCATAACACTCAGCGCACCGGGAAGGCCGTCCAAGTTCCGAGGGAAAGAACCCAGCAACGGCTCCGGTTTCAGTTTCAGGTGGACCAGCATCACCTAGTGGAGAGCCGCCTCGGCCACCCCACCCTATCCCGCCCCTGGAGGGGTGGACGTGGCTCAGACAAGCTGGACACTCTGAGTTGGGTGTTCCAGAAGAGGGAACTCCCTCTCTGTCATTCCCCCTTTTTCTAGGGGCCAAGGGAGGAGGGAGGGATCTCCCAACCGAGCATGTGGCACGGGACCTTCCGAGCGCATCAGCATGGCTAGCAGAGACAAGCCTCCTAGGACACAAAGCCTGACCAGGGGATTGCTTTCCACGCTGACAGTGACTGAAGACCTCATAAGAAGTGGAAGGGGCAGTTACTGGGCCTGGCCACTTGTGGCCACACCTCACCCCAAGGACATTCCTGTTTCTTTCCTCAGATGGGAAAAATCAGGCCTCGAGCAATTGTCAACTTCAGGAAAATTTTAGAACTAAATGTGATGGCAAAATCAAACTTGTAATCTTTAATATTTTTGTGTTGAAGTCAAGACAAGTGAATGTTTAATTTTAATTATATGCAAAGTCCAAGAGCATCTGACGGCCGGGCGCGGTGGCGCAGGCCTGTAATCTCAGCAGCTCAGGAGGCTGAGGCAGGAGGCTCTTGAGTTCAAAGCCAGCCACAGCAAAAGCAAGGTGCTAAGCAACTCAGTGAGAGCCTGTCTCTAAATAAAATGAAAAATAGTGCTGGGGATGTGGCTCCGTGGTTGAGTGCCCCTGAGTTCAGTCCCTGGTACTCAAAACAAAATAAAAAAAGAGCATCTGATGCATTTTCAGAGTGAACAGAGAAGTTTGGGGATTCTGATTTAAAATAGGAAATTTGTAACCCTAGTGACTCAGGAGGCTGAGGCAGGAGGATCACAGGTCAAGGCCAGCTGGGCAACTTAGAGAGACCCCGTCTCAAAATTTAAAAATAAATAAATAAATATAAAAAGGACTGGGGATGTAGTGCAGTGGGAAAGTGCCCTGGGCTCAATTCCCAGTATCCCCCCCACAAAAAAATTCCAACCTTTTAAAGAAGAAAATAGCGGCACGGGAGCCCTTTACAGTTTGCGAAGCGTTTCCACACACATCCTCATAAAGGCTTCAGCAACAGCCTGTGATGAAAACACTGATTACGCTTGTTTCCCAGAGGAGGAAGCTAAGCCTCAGTCAGGCCAGAGAAGTTCACCAAAAAGTGCAGGGCTGGGATCCTCTCCAGGTCTTTCTGAATCCTGTTCTTTGTTTTCCGATCCAGATGGTTCCCCAAAGAGAGAAAATCCTCAACGCTCTCAAGTGCTCTGAAAATGTGATTTTCTTCCCTAATTCTCCCTGCTGGCTTGAGATGACTCACGAAACTTGGAATACCACTAGAATGGTCCAGATCCCACCTGGCCTGTGGCTGGTGGCCACGGGGAGCTGGGTCTGGCTGGGCCCCGATGGTCAACGGCCCCTGACGCCAGGTATCCGCCCGCTCCCCACGTCCAGGGCTTGGAAGAGCTGCTCGAGACGTTCCCCAGATTTTGCTTCGTAGCTTGGGTCCCTGCTTGTGGAATGAGGCCGCCCGAGCATTTCCCTGAAGGCAGTACTGGGAGATGACGTGAGAGAGGGTGGTGACCACCCTAGGCCTATAGTAGGTGCTCAATAAACAAGAATCAACATCCTCCCGACGTGCTTGTGTATGCTCCCTCTGTGTGCCTGAGCCATCTCAAAGCTGTAACTGTGGCTGCGAAAATGCACCCACACAGGTCCCTCCTGGCCTCTCCTTCCACCCACTGCAGAGCCAGGACCCCATTAGAAGCCCCAAACGTGGTGCCCCTCAGGGGCAGCAGGCACAACCCTGTACCTGTCCCTTTGCTTTCTGCGAGGAGAGACCTGATCACCACTTCCAGCTCCCTGCCCGGTGCTTCCTCTGACCCTGATCCTCTGTCCTTTGCAGGATGGGCTCTCTGAATCCCTCGGCACCTCTCTCCGTGGCTTCTTGTTTTAATAGCATGAAAAAATTGAGACACGCCTCACATAACACCCACTTAGAGTGGTTTTCAGTAAGTTCACTGTGTTGTGCCAACATCCCCACAGCCGGTTCCAGGACATTTCCGACACCCTCAGGGAAGCCCGTGCCTTATCAGCACCTGGAGCAGCTCTTCTGCCTCCTCCCCACCCCCGCCCTGGCTCCACAACTCCTTTGCTATCATTTCCTGAAGAAGAGTGTTCCCAGGTGGGCAGAGGGTGGGAGGGGACACAGTCCAGGGGGCTGTGGGGGGTGGGAAGGGACACAGTCCAGGCTGTCTGAGCAGGCTGGCCTGGCCTAGTCTGGGCACTGAGTCTAGGATACCTGAAGAGGTCACTCATGGACAGGTCATGGTGTAGAGATCCCCTGGATGGCGGAGAGGCCCGGGAGAAGCCAATGTCAAAGCCACAGACGGTCACTGTCAACCCATAAGGTCTGGGCAGGAAGGCTGAGGTCAGAAAGAGCAAGAGGACTCAATGGTAGGGAGGAGACGAAGCCTCGAGGTGGTCCTTGTGAGGCAGCGAGGAGGCTCGACCGGTGCACCCACCATCAGCCCATCAACTTGACAACACACGGGCGTACTGAACCGGGCACCAGAGCCCAAGTTGCCAGGCAGTTTGGGGGGTCGCCGACTTCTCTCCCAAGGTTGACCAGGAGTCTGCTGTTGTTGACCTGCCACCCTGCGAGGTTTCCCTCCGCACAAAAGCTGCCCTTATCCAGACAGTCCAGCCTCGGGGAGGACCGGAGAGGGTCCAGAGCCCAAGAACTGTAAGGATGAGACCTAGAGGTGCGCCCCCTCCTGCCTGGATCTTAGAAAGGAGACTCAGCAGCTCCTGCAATTCAGAAAATAAAGGAGGGAGTAAGAATGTCTGTGTTCTCCGTACTGAAGGGGAAAAATCCAGTTGTCATTTAAAAATTTTTATTTTACCACCATAAATTTTTTTTTTTTTAAAAAAGAGGATAACAAATTGGTGACAATTTCTTCTATAGTCATCAATGCAGAAATTAAGTGGCATCACTTGGGGAGAAACATAAAATGTTACCTAGTCGCTGTTTAATTTTTTTTGGGGGGGTGCAGGGATGGAACCCAAGGTCTCATGCACACGAGGCAAGTGCTCTACCACTAAGCTTCATCCCCAGTCCTAAAATTTATTCTTCAAAAAGTATAGAACAGAGCTGGGCACGGTGACGCACACCTGTAACCCCAGCAGCTTGGGAGGCTGAGGCAGGAGGATCGTGAGTTCAAAGCCAGCCTCAGTAACAGCGAGGCGCTAAGCAACTGAGACCCTGTCTCTAAATAAAATACAAAATAGGGCTGGGATGTGGCTCAGTGGTCGGATGCCCCTGAGTTCAATCCCTGGTATTGAAAATAAAAATAAAAATAAAAAATAGAATAAAATTCAGAACATATGGAACATTTTGCTTTCCATCTTCCTAGATCTATTCCCATTTAGCCATTTTAAAACCTTAATAGGAAATTTGTAGAGAATCAGATGTGACTGCGTTACTAGTACTGTCCTTGATGGAGTCTGCCTGCAAACGGGATATTCTGTCAAGGTATAGATAGGTAACAGCGGACATGCTTGAAAACGAGGTGTCTGCTGTCCTTGGGAGGACTTGCCTGCAAACGGGATGTTCTGCCAAGTGCGCTAGGAGGGCGCTGAGAAAAATTTTATTATCTGTTCTTAACAAGAGCAGAGCTCGGCATGCTCCAGGCCGAGAGTAGATGAGCCATGAGAATCGGGTCACTTCTGATTAGAAAGTAAAACTTCTGTGTGCTGTTTAATTAGCTGAAAGACCTGATTCATTGCTGTTGGAAGGCTGCCTTCTTTGTTCACAAGACTATAGAAAGATCGCTTGTATGCAACAAAGGACTTTTTTTTTCTGCTGCTGCTTTGCTTGCTCTACTTCTTCTTTCTCACGCTGACCTGCGAGTGAGCTACTGCAACATTTGGCGTAGATGGCAGGATCCAGCACCGAAAGGGTAAGCACCCCGGGTTAAGAAAACGAAAGGGGAACTTTCAGGATTAACAAAAAAATCCAAAGGGTATCGCCCCGGGTTGAAAGGACTTTAGGGGGACTTTCGAACTAACAAAATATCGAAAGGTATCGCCCCGGGTTGAAAGAGACCTTAGGGGGACTTTCAGAACTAACATGGGAAACTCCCAGTCCTTAGAGGAACACTATGTGGAGTTACTACAAGGATTATTATATTCCATAGGTGTGAAAACATCTCATAAGAGACTCAAGGAGTTATTTAAAATTATAGAATGTCATTGTCACTGGCTCCAGTATCAAACCAAGGTCCAGTTAAATTTAGGGGAATGGAAATTGACCAGACCCACCACATCCCCTTTCTCTAAATCCCAGTTGACCTGTGCACAGAGCTGTGTGAGGGCAGATGTGATTTCTGTCACTCCTGTATTTTTTGAATTCCTTGGTGGTGCCTGAGCAGTCACTGATGGCCTCTGTCACCCCAAGGGCGCCAAAGCCAGAGAACAAAGAAAGAAATTCTGGACTTTGGGGCTCACAGTCACATTGTAGGTAGAAGATTTGGAATTATTTGGAAAAACAAGCAACCAGGCAGAACTGGAGAGGAGCTCTCTAATGTCACCAATGACCAATAGGGAAGGTGACAGCTCAGGGGACGCCAAGTGAGGGTGGGTGAACACTCGGGACCGCGTGGACCTGAGTGAGGCCTTCAGGACTCTGTGGACATGGTTTGAGTGTCCCCAAGGGCTCGTGTGCTGGGAGCTTGGTCCTCAGTGTTGGGAGGTGAGGGACTTCAAAAGGAGGGGCCCGGTGGGAGGGGCAGGACCAGCCCCACCTCGAACTCCTGTCTCCCAAGGATCTCTCTCTCTCTCATGCACTACCGCTGATGTGCCCTGAGGTGACGCAGTCAGGGGCCCAGCCATAGCCTGTACCCTCCTGGTCACACTTTCAGCTTCCAAAACTGGGAGCTAAGTAAACTTCATTTCTTTATAAGTTACCCAGTCTCAAATATTTTGTTACAGTAACAGAAAACGGACTGATATAAGCAGTGAAATAAAGAAGATCATGTGTTGGGAGACCCTGCTGGGAAGAGGGGCAGCGTTAACACACCTATTGGGTTCTACCCAGGTCACATGGAAGGATGGAGCAAGGACCACTCGTACACAAGGAACTTGGGGTCAGGAGCCCCTGAGCTTTCAGAGCACCCCTGTTTCCCAGGGAGGATGGGTCAGGCAACCCTGGGACTGCCCACCTGTCACAGGCAAAGGTGAATACTTGGTCCAGTAGAGAAATCAAGAAGCCAGGGATGAAGCCCCACCCGAGAGGGCCAGAAGATGAAGGGGGAAGAGGGCAGGAGTGCTGGCAAACACGAACGGGACCCTCTCTGCTGCTGTGGGATTGCGACACCATATTTAACATGAATAGTTGGATGGGAATACGCAATATCAGCTCTATCTCAATCACTTCAAGTATAATACTGGGACGTGTGGTGTAGAAAATATTTTGTCTCCAAGATACAATAAAGTCAAACCTTGGAAATGACTAAAATTACATTTTACAGTTTGCTTTGCAGTTGCTAACGTAGCCACACTGTCATCTTGATTCTCGCTTCCCCTGCACCCGGTGAATCAATAGGGAAGCCACAGGATCTTGCAGGAAGGACTGAGATTTGCTGGTAGGGAAGTGGTCAATGATGTCCCCCTGTGTCCATGTCCTTATCGCTGGAATCTGTGAATATGACCTGACTTGGGAATAGGTCTTTGCAGATCCTTTGAGCATCCTGGATTACTTGGTTTGGGTAGGCCCTAAATCCAGTGACAAGTGTCCTTAGACAGAGGAGAGGTGTACAGGGAGGAAGAGGAGGAGCCATATGAAGACAGAGGCAGAGTGATGGGGCCACAAGCCAAGGAATGTGTGGAGGTACCAGAAGACGCAGGAGGGATTCTCCTCCAGAGATACCACCTTGATTTTGAACTTCAGAATGAATTTTTGCTGGAACTCGCCACAGTTGTGGCTCATCTGCTACAGCAGCCAAGGAAAGGAATACGCCGTTCTGTGAATAGCCAAGTGAGGTCTGGAGAGGAGAAGCAAGATGCTCAGGGCTGGAGCAAGGACCCACTCGGGGTCTTCCACACAGGAGAGGCGCAGGTTCTTGGTCCCCGGTGTGCATTGGAACCCCCTGGGGAGCTGGTCATGTCCCAGGCATTGGGCCCGACATGAGTTTGAGACAGCAAGGATGTGCACTGTTGCTAGGCTGGGGACCCCACTGACACGAGCCAGCCTGCATCCTCTAGACGCATCCTTCATAGTCAGAATGATAAACAGCTACTACAAAGACAAGCTAGAGAGAAACAGACACCCCTCAATAGAGTCCAAACACGTAACACTAAAGAAAACCAGGTACCAAGTGCAGCAGCACACGCCTGTGATCCCAGCAGCTGCAGAGGCTGAGGCAGGAGGATCAAGAGTTCAAAGCCAGCCTCAGCAACTTAGCAACTCAGTTTGACCCTAAATAAAATATAAACCAGGGCTGGGGATGTGGCTCAGTAGTTAAGCACCCCCAAGTTCAGTTCTTAGTACCAAAAAAGAAAAAGGAAACCCTGTGGTAGGACTGACCAGAGTCGTAATGAGACAGAAAAAATGGACTAGGGCATGGGTATAAGATTCGACCTCTGATGAAGGTCCTCCCTCGTCTCCCCTTTCCACTGGGAACCCTGACTACGCGACATGTGGGGTCCCGGCCGGCATCTAGGTCTCTGGCTGGCTCCGTGCTTTGCTCCTCTCTGTGCAGCGGCCTGTGCCTTCTTCACCCCGCGTGCGTGCGCTGGGCTTTGTCAGTGGGCACTGTTCAGTACATGCTGCATGCAAGGTGCCTCCTTCCTGAAGTCCCGCATCCCCACCCCCACAGCTCCACAACCAAGCCACCACCCTTCTCCCTGGCAAGAGAAAGATGACCCCACTGGGGACCCCAGTTCCCCTGGATGCACAGGCCCCTGGCCAGCATCGAGGGTGGAACAGTAAAGGGTTTCTTGAGACACGAGCCCGAGGACTTCAAGGCTCAGAGCCCTCACAGCCCGATGGGCGCGTGTTCTCCCGAACCACGCAGCGCAGGCCCTGCAGGCCACCCGCGCTCGCAGAGGACTCCACACACGGCTCGTAGCACATGGTACTCTTTATTGTGACGCTCAGTGGCGAACATCTGTAAACCAGCTTGCTGTAGTGGTGGCAGCCGTGACACATGCTAAGGCACTTTCGTTATAGAAAAGGGTGCTCCCCGAGAGTGCTGCTCACTCCATGGTGACAGCAACTCGGACCTGAATTCAGCACTTTCTAGGCATCCAGAGAGCTTCATGGTGGCGGGGTTTCTTTCCTTTCAAAAGAACGCCTCCTGCCTCAAGCGAGTCTAAATGCAGCATTTACAAACAGGAACAGGAGCAGACTCGGCAGCCAGTGTCGACCAGGGGACAGCTACTCTTCTAAACACGGTTCCCAAGGAAAGGCAGTGATAAGGACTCGGCATTTTATCATTTATTAAAAGAAGGGAAAAAGAAAACCTTTTTTTTTTTTTCTTTCAAAAATCTCTGCAGGTGGCTGAGTTGAAGCTGCTGAGTCAGCAGTGCAGGTGCGCTACCCTCGGGCCCAGTCCTGGAGCAGGCACCCGGCCACAGAGGGCCACCAGCCCTCTCTGATCCTCTGGCTGCAAGACTTGGGATAAGTCCCTTAACCATTAAATACATTTGGTCCCCAAGAATGATGGGAGAAGCCACGGGAAGGCTGCTGGACTTCAGAGTGGCCCAGACACCCTGGCTGCTGGGCCCCGACAGCCTCGCTGTGCAGGGACAGGCTGCCCTGGCCAAGGAGGGGAGGGGGCATTGCACTTGAGACCCTTTAGAATCAGGAAGGGGGCAGTGAGCACGGTGCCGCCCAAAGCGGGTGGGAGGAACGGCGCTGCCCCCAGCATTCTGTGCCCTGCACAGAGGTGGCACTCCTGGGCCACTCGGGGGAGGTGTGAGGTTACCGCGTGTGATTGCCAACAGCAGAGAGGGAGGAGGAGGGGAGAGCGGTGGCAGGGCAGGGGACGGGAGGGCGACACACCTCTAGGGTGTCAAGCTATCAAAACTCCTTTAGTCTGAAGAAAAATAGATTCATAGAAAATTCTAGGGCCCACCCCGGGGCCTGCCCTCACCTCACCGTCTGTGCTTGTAGGCAAGAGAGGGTGGAGACCTGCTGGTCACTTGTTCCCCGGGCCTGGGCCTGGCCCTGACTCTTTGGTATCAGATTCGAGGGTGGGAGGGGAGCTGGGGCTGCAGCAGAGGAAGCCAGCGCCCTCGACAAGGCTGGGTGGGTAGGGTCGCGGTCACAGCAGTCCTGAGGTGGGGTGCCGCGGGGTCTGGGAGGGGGAGGCGGAGTCCTCTGTCCGTCCGGCTCGGGCAGCGGGCAGGAGGAGCGGCCTACTCAGCAGGCTTGGCCTCGGCCCCGTCGGCCTTGCCATCCACCTCCTCATCTGAGCAGTCGCCAGTGCCTTTCCGAGCCATTCGACGGGGCACAACAAACGGCAGGTCCCCACGCCTGTGGACGGAAGCAGAGGGTCAGTGGCGCCCAGTGGGGGGTGGCCTGGCATGGTGAGCACATTTCACAGGTGTCTTCAGGAGACACTGGGCACTCCCTGGGGCAGCAGTGCTGAGCCTGGGGAGCCACTGACTGGGTGGGACAGGGACAGACTCAAGGAAGCAGAGGGTCCTGCAAACCATTCATGTCCCAGATATGGTGACACACAGCGCTGGCATCGACGGTTCAGGAAACAGGACAGAAGCTGCTCAGGTCACCTTCCCTGGCAGCCGCCTCCCTGCTCGAGCTTCGGTCACCCAGGCAGTGGCTGGGGGTGGCTCAGGGGCAGAACATTTGCCTAGCATGTGAGGCCCTGGGCAGCACCCTAGGACCCTCAGGCAAGACCTCTGCCCAGGGCAGGTGGCACCAAGAAACCCAGGACAACTACTCACAGGGACCCAAAGTCGGGCTTCTTTGATCAAATCAGAAAATTCAAGTGAAATATTGACAACAAAGTCCAGTCTTATTATTATGTCCCCACCCCCAACCCGCAAAAAAACAGGTCCCTGTGAAAGAGGTCAACAATGAGGACCTGGGAGGGAACGATCCCCTGGGGCCAGCAGGCACCCCGAATGCCAACAGCCGCTCTGGAACTTTCCCACAGTGGCTCACTTGCAGGTAACCCCAGGTGCTAATGTGCTGGGGATGGGCCAGGGATGCAGCTCTGTGGCAGACAGTTCGCCCAGAGGCCCCGGGCTCCATCCTCAGCAAACCACCCCCCACCCGCCTTCGAGTGTGCCCCAGGTCTGGAGCTGCAGGACAGGCTGCCAAGGAACAGGTGGGCCCAGGCCCCACGGGCAGGGAGAGTCCAGGAAAGCCCGCTGCTCTGTGATGGGCAACCTCTGGGGTCTGCCACCAAGCACCCTGCTCCTGGGCTCTGTGACCAGGCTTATAAGGAGGTCACCCCCTGAACAGGCCAGCTCTGGAAGGACAGACGAGGACAGGGCGGGCCGCCTGAGCTCACCTGAGCTTGTTCTTCAGGGAGCTGACCTCGCGGTTCATGGCGTCCGCGGTCTCTGTGGCGTCCTCTAGCTCACGCTGCAGCTTCCGGCGTGAGGCGTTGGCCCTCTGGGCCTCCTCCTCGGCCTCCTCCAGCTGCCGCTTGAGCTGCTTCAGACGGGTGGACGCCTTGTCTGCCTGCAGGGAGAGGTGGCCGCCCTGGTTAGGGGCTGTGGGCAGGAGAGGGGGCGGCCCTGGCGGGGGCTGTGCACAGGGACAGGGGGCCACCCTGGTTGGGGCTGTGGGTGGGACAAGTGACAGCCCTGGGTGGGGCTGGGGACAGGTGTAGCCCTGGCTGCAGCTGACAGGTGGCAGCCCTGGGTGGGGCTGAGGGTGGGGACAGGTGGCAGCCCTGGCGGAGGCTGTGACCCACAGGCCTGGCCACTGCCCTGCACACACCTGGTCCTTGTACTGCTCCGCGTTCCTGCGCTCGTCATCCACCTGCAGCAGCACGTCCTTCAGCTTCTTCTCTGCCCGGCGCACCTGCTTGCAGGCTGCCTGGCGCTCCCTGTGTGGCAGACACATAGCTCAGGGGGCTGGTTCCCAGGGAGTCTGGCCAGCAGCCATTTCTGGACTACCCATTTCCTGGGGCCTCGCTGGCAGGTGCCCACGGGGAGGCCTTGAGGCTAAGGTGCCAGTCTAGCAGCCTGGTCTCTGGGACAGGCTGAGATCCCAGGCTCGGGGAGGGGACACTTCTGGAAGAGCACATATGGAGCTGGGGGCTGGGCAAAGTGAGCTTTAGGGTCTGGAGAGACCCCCGCTAGCTCCAAAGCAGTCTCAAACTTGCTGAGCCACAGATGGCTACACAGGGGGCCAGGACCCCGGCCTCTCCCTACTTTAGCCCTGAGACAGCCAGCAAAGCCCCCAGCTTCTGAGGTGAGCCACGGTCCAGTTCAAGTCCTCCAAGGCCTCAGCCAAACACAAGGGCCCACGTGGGCAGAAGGGC